ATAATTTTGGCAATACAGTGGAGGAAGCATTCAACAATCCCTTATTTGCCAAACTGCACTATCGCTTCAAGCAGGAGGACAGGATTGGTCGTGTCATGCACCTTGTGTCAGAACTTGTTTGTGACTTTTTCATCAAGGTGCTTCCCAAGTGGGTTCTTGACCACTCGATCTTGTGGGAAGAGTTTATGATCTTGGATCCAGACACAAATCTCCCAGCTTACAAGACTTCAGAGGCCGCCTTACAAGCAGAAAGGAATCCAGAGAAGTATCATACACATTTTGCTACGAACTTCAAGAAATTCCGTTTTTCTGCAAGGATTGTGTGGTATTTGATTGACCGTGACAGGAATCATTTAGAGAGTTTTCTTCACAACTCCAACAGTAGATTTGTGCAACATGCATGCTATCAACTTCGTGAGTATGTTCAGGCGCGTGTTGCAGTTTCTGATCCCTTGTATGAGATGATCAAGAAGGAAGAGTTTGAACGCCAATACAATTCCAAGTTTTTGGAGGCGATTTCTTGCTCTCGCGTTGTAGTTGAGCCTGTAAGTTCAGGGACGTATGAGCCATCATCGAAGCTGAACTTAAAGGTACTACAAGACATCCTGAAGGGTATCTTCAAGATCCAGAAGGATGAGGAGCTTGCCAAAGAACGTGATGAAGAAGAAGAACAGGCAGCTCAAAACATCTCATACCTGTTGGCAGATGATATGGAGCTTGATTTTGATGATGATGATGTTCCAGTATGGCGCTCCATTGTCGACAAGTATAGAGGAGGTGATCAGGTGCTACAGGGAGAAGCTGTGAAGATTACTCACCTGTTCAGGGATCAAAAGGACAATGAGAAGGAGACAGAAGCTTTCAGTTCAGAGAGGACAGATTTTTATGAGACCTCAGGACCTCTTCCAAGAACCGAGGGAGAAAATCTTGTAGAGGACTTGCTCACCAAGGATGTTGCAGAACAAGCTTTTGAAGCAGGTGAAGAAGTTCCTCCTTATACAAGAGTCTCCACTATTGCTGGTGAAGTCTATACTGGAAGTAGGACACTTCTAGAAGATGAGAATATGGAAGAGGAAGTTCCTGAAGAAGATCCTGCAGTTGAACCTGGAAAGGAAGAAGAAATATTTGATGAAGATGCAGATGTTTTTCCTTCAGAGGAACCAAAGATGGAAGTGGACCAGGAGGAAGCCAAGGAAGAGTCAACACCACACTTTCTGTCAAGAGAGATAGGTGAGGACTCGACTGCATCGCACTTACCATCAGGTGAGATGGATGCTAACCTTGATGATACTTCAGGTCAGCGGAAATCTAAGAAAAGCCGCCTGAATAAGATTCCTGATCCTCATTTTCATGAAGAAGTTCAGGATGATGCCACCATGGAAGAGAAGAAAGAGGCGGTGGAGAAAATAAAAGAGGTCAGAGAGGATGATGGAGAGAAGAAATTGGAGGCTGAAATCCAAGAATCTTTTCCATCTGAAGTAGTTGCTGAAAAGGAGACAACAAAAGCTGACAATACCTATGAGTTGCATACTTCACCTTTGAAGTTGCTTGGAGAGCTTACAGGAGATCCAGGTATTGGCTTTTATCAACTATGCTTCAGGGAAACTCATGCAAGATTGCTGAATCATGTTTGCTTCAGAAAAGGTGAGATTTCCCATCCTCATTATCAGTCGAGGATCAACGAGAACGATTTTGTTCGATCCATTCGCAATATCTGTCCAGTACCTCCACCTGATTGTTATGAACATGAACCAGAGCATGATTTGAAGAGATTCTTCATCGATGATGATCGCATCATTTATTTGGATGGCAGGTATCAGGTCGATCCAAAGGCCCTTGAAAGGGCAGGTCATGCTCGAGAAGAATTGGAGGAGACGAAGAAGGAACTCAAGAATGAACTGGAATCATATGGTCCCAAGGGACCCAGTTGGGACTTTGTCACCTTCTATGAAGAGCTGTGCAGAAGGTTCCTCAAGGGAAGAATAGAAGAACCATATGGAACCAACTTATTGGCCAGCTCAGAGTCCTTTATATTTTTATCCTGGAACTATGGCAACATGGTTCGTGGTCAGAAGTACACCACACCAAGGTTTCTCCAAGGACTTGATAGTGCAATGAGGCCACGCAAACAGAGCGCCATGTCACTTCAGAATGAGCAATTTGAGAACAACCTTTTCTTCAACATGCTCTTCTTTTTACGTGCACATGTCGTGATTCTCCAGGAAGCTCATCTTCTTGTTCCTGCCAAGGAATTTATTGAGCAAAAGAATTGGACAGTTTGTTTCAATGATTGGGAGAATCTTGCAGTGATGGCCAGATTGGCACCAGGTGGATATGTCAAGATCATTGCTGGACATGACCAAGACCGTGGTCACTGTGAACAGCGTGATGTAACTTGGGCTATCTACGAGATTTGTTTTGGAGAAACAAGGCCTCGTCAAGATTTCAAGGATGCAGACTTTGAATTTGATGACTATGGTCCTGAGGACAAGCGTGTTCCACTTACTCGAGCGAACATGCATACCATCAGAGTCTGTAATTATCATGTTGATACACACCGTGCTGTGGATGCCCACCTACTGACAGGAGAACAAACAGCATTGATGCTTTACGAGTGTTTTGTCTATGAGGTGGACATCATTTCTGGTGATGCAAATAGTTTGGCCTACAGAATGTCTGGGTACAAAAGGCAGCCAATGGCTAACTATTATTATAGCACCATGCAGCATTGGATCCGCAGGTTTTCAGAAGCCCGTATAAAAGCAGATCCTGGTATCAAAGCACCTATTCCCAGAAATTTTTATAGTTCAACTTCACAGGTCCTCAAGAAGTGTGAAGATTACTTTGACAAACTCTGGGAAGAATATTCTACTGTTGAAAAAGAAGAATACCAAGGATCACAGCTTGGCGATACATGTTTGTCTACCATTGTTGAATGGGGTCATTCAATGAGTGAAGAGGAATATGAAAATTCCACAGTGAGCACGAAGGAGTTCATCTGTAATTTTTCAGAGAACTTTGCTATGATTGACACAGAGGTTATGTGCTCAAGGCCCACTGACGAGGACAGTCATGGTCCAATGTTTATTTCACTCAGACCAGCTTCCTTTTCATCTGGAGACAGAAGACAGTATCGTATGGGACCAACTCTTCATGAGGCGAACTTGCGGAGGAAGGAGAGACAGAAGCAGAATAAAAGGAAAGGAAGGCCGCCAACTTCTGATCAAGCAACTTCATCGTTTGCAGCGGCATAATTCCTGAGCGAAGGCTGAAATTTAAATGATGGCTAGGAAGTGAAGATACTTCTGGTTACAGTTGATACTTTGCTTCCAGGCTTGACTTTAAGTTGCCAGGCTGAAGTTTTAATAAATTCTGGTTTGCAATGAGGAGAAACTTTTTATCAAAGAAGATACTCCTGCATTCCAGGTTTATACGCTTTAGCATGTAGATAGGTATGGACAGTTTTGCATAACTGATGATATCTATCACAGCCGCTTTTCTGAGATGACCTCTAATGTACAACCAGTCATGGTTGATGATTAAGTCATTTCATGATTTGCAATTGTAGTGCAAGATTTTTTTTGTACATACATTTGCCGGTATCTCCTTCTTGTGTTTTTGATGTGAATGTGAAAGAGAGTCCTTTTGATGCAGTTTTATTTTGTCTGTGAATGAAAGCGGTCGAGACCACGTCACGAGAAGATTATTCCTCGGACCGTACGCTCCTTGCATTTTGCAAGGCATTTTTAATTAATTGCATTTGTGCGGTCTTGAATTTTTAGTTCTTTGTTACGCGAGTGTCGTTTGATTCTTTTATAGGTCTCTGTAGAGAAAAAGCCGCTTTCCCTTTTAGTTTGATTTAGCTCAGGCCCTAAAGAGCTAGTGAGCGCCGGTACATGGTATCTCCGCCTGCGAAAAGTACAGTCTCCAGCCGAGGTACATTATCGCTTTGATTTTGTACTTGAGGTGAGTCAGCTATTGCTCCCTCACTGTATTTAGTAGCTATGAGATTACCTTCTCTGAAGTGTGAAACACACTGGATTAGGTAAGTACATGGCACCGTAGTTTTCTTTTAAGTTGTCAGAGCTAGCTGGACTGTTTTAGCCTTGCAGTAGAAAAAGAGTATGCGACATACGCAATCAGCTAGAAGTGGACATGAATCTTGTGCCTGCTGAAAGGTAGAGCCTACCTGTACAGGGTTCCACTCCAACAGCTGATATAGTGTGTCCATGCTTGACTGCTTCAAGGCTCAAAGAGCAAGAGGATAAGACTCTGCGCATAAAAGACACTAGCGGTCTGCACCTCTACCGTGTACGCCCTAGTCACTCTTTCACCCCCTCCCCCCCCCTTCCTCCCCTCTCCCCACCTCTCCTCTTCCCCCCCTCTCCTCCTCCTTGTCTTCCTCCCATCTTCCCTCCCTCCCTCCTCCCTCTTCGCAAGTTCGACTCCGTCCTGTCGTCGCTCTTTGGCATGCGGTTAGCGTTGCGTATCTTGCGGCCGCACTCGCTCACTCTCACTCTCACTCTCACTCTCTCACTCTCTCACTCTCTCACTGTCTCACTGTCTCTCTCATCTCTCTCATCTCTCTCATCTCTTTCTCATCTCTCTCATCTCTCTCTCCTCTCTCTCTCTCTCTCCTCTCTGTCTCTCGTCTTTCCGTCTCTCTTCTCTCTCTTCTCTCGCAGGAGGATCCGGGCAAAGAGCCACATATAAAGGACTCTTCACCCCTGCCTCCAAAAAGAGCGCCGTGTTTTTTCCTACCTCGCTGCCCTCCACTTTCCCATTCTGGAGCGCTAGCTTTCGCCCCCCCCTTGGCCTCAAGTATATATATATATATATGTATTATATACACAGTATATATATATATATACCATGCAAGCGTTTTTGTTGGACCTATTCTTGGACCTGTGGGATGTATACCATTTTTGGATGATCTGCGAACCAAACGACCCCCCTTTTCCTGCACCCGTCCTGTGCCCGTTTGCACTGTGTCCTTTCAGGCTTGGCCCCGGAAGCGCCCGACCGAAGCCGATCTTCAGGTGGCCTAAAGGCCACACAGCTGTCGCTGTGCTCCAGGGGTTCAGAGGGAGATCGGGTGGGTGAGTCCAGGTGGATTCGGTCACAGAGTCCAGGAGTAGATTGAGAGGAATTGGGATGATGTCACACCATGTATGGCCCCCTAAGTGGTTGAGCAGAAAGAAACACCAACGTGCAGGCATCAGGAATCAGTTTGCTTTGCACTGGCAAGCCGCACTCATACAATGCGCGGCAAGCTCGATCAATAATAAGTGCCGTTGATACGACGTGTTGATCACGGTCAGTCTGAAGCCGGGATTATGTGCGTTTCCATCCCGAACGGATCTGAGCCGAAACGCACATTCTTACATGTATACCTCACGAATGACTCCTCTGGTTCTCTCCATGAATCCCTGGTGGTTTGATCAGGCATTCCATGCTGGCACGGGGTCCTTTTGGTCCAACCAAGGTGGATGAAAGAGAATGGGCTGGGTGTGAATTCCGAGACTTGGAGCAAGTGGAAGGAGCTCCCACAAGAGGAGAAGGATCTGTGGCGAGCCAAGGTGGGCGGTGGCGAGCCGAGCAACACGAGGGTGTGGTCTGGGAGCCACGCAACAATCGGTGCGAAGCTGGGGTCATACAACGCTGGCTTAAGGAGGGATTTGACAGCTTGGGTGATGCACATAGGACATAGGTGATACAGTATCGAGCGCAGGTGGATGCCTCAGAGTCCCTCGGTCATTTCTTTTACATCTTGCTTCTTTTCCCTGGAAGAAGCTATGGGAAGCAAGAGCACCAAAACGTGTGGCCGCGTTTCGCCCTGCGGGCCCTTCCATTCGTCGGATCGGTTCAAAAAGACGATGACAAAGTGACACCATTCCCAGACCATGCATGTATGGAATAGTCAACCACATCAGGGGGGTCAACCACATCAGGGGGAGTATACATACATATATATATATAATTATATATATATATATACACAAATAGATGTATGTAACTATTCCATACACGGATTGGCCAGGGATTGTTGACTCTCCTCCTACCTCCGGCTCTGAAGAGGCCTTGGCGCTGAGTCGCCCTGAGGCTGCACCCAGCGAGGTGGATGAGGCGCAGAAACCCCGCAAGGGGCCCAACGTTTGGAGTATGTTATTGGAATTGTGTGACTACGTGACAATGTGTGTGACTGTAAGGAGCAGGGTAGTGAATGGTAGGTGGGTGAAGATGTCGCACCACGACAGGGACCATGACCATGCGGCTTCCAGTTCAGGCGCCGGATGATGATTCGGAGGAGGTCCGGCGGCCTTCGGCAGCTGGGATTTTCGCCGTGATGGGGAGGAGGACTATGACATGAGGTACAGAGGTAGAAATTCACAGGAGCTTGGGCAGCTTGGGATGCTGCAAGTGCCTCTTACTGCTCATACTCAAGTTGATTCAGGTTCAATCTTTGGGTTCCATCTCATCTGACTCGGGTTGACTTAAAAAAACAAACGAACGAGGGTTTTTTCAGCGACAAAAATGGGGATCCCATCAGATTAGTGACTCGTGACACTCCATGTGTTGTGGGACCTGGTGTACGTATACCGGTTGCAACATCAACAAGCTGACGCAGGCTGACGACATGTGGCCCCGGCTCGCCCTGGACAGCATGACTGTCTAGAGTCTAGAGGTAGGTTTCATGCTGTCATCCTGTCATGTGCTCTCAAACCATTTACAGTGGTTTCAGAGTAACAATTCCGAAAAGGTGGTTGTCTCAGGATCTCCATCCAAGACAGACATCTTGGGGTGCCAGTGCCATCTACTCTGATGGCCCACTGTAGGGTGAATAGCATCGTTGTTCAGGCTTTCTGAACTGGGTACCGATGCGCGAGCTGTGATCTCAGGTGGGTATCCTCAAGAGATTCCAGCAGCTAATGGGGAAGGCGAAGGAGCTTGGGCCGTCATTGAGCCACTGATTGTCTTGTGGATGCCAGGTAGACCAAGATATTGTACCCCTGCCTACCACACCCCACAACCCCCTGTTAAGCTTTGAGTTCTTGATGATGCGTAGTGGTAGGAGGAGCATAAACCTGCAATATGTTTTATGTTATTTGTCGCAAACCATCCGAACACCTACCAGGCATGTACAATTATGTATAGCCAGAACTGAAGCATACCGCTGACTGCATGGCCCAGTCAGACGTAGCCCGCGGTCAGGAAGCACCACAGCCGGAGCCGAAAGAGGAGCCTGAAGAGGAGCCGAAAGAGGAGCCGAAGGAGACAGATGAGAAGGAGAAAGAGGATGTCAGTGGGGAGGGGGAGCCTTCCCCATCGTCGCCATCGACGCCTGTCATGGGCGATAGGGGGGAGAAAACAATTTGGAGATATTTGGAGAAAGGTTTTCAGGTCGAAGCGGGGTGTGTCAGAGGTTGAAGTTGAAGGTGGATGTTTTTGCTCTGTTTTTTTGCGTTATTTTCCCGCACAGTTCGGAGCTGAGGCCGACTTCACCCCATTCCGATCCATTCACCAAGTTCCTCAGCACCCAGAGCGTGCTCATCGTCACAGAGAGCGGCATGGGGAAGCGTGTGGCCTTGAGCGACCTGAAGCTGATGTCCCGCAACAAGAAAGGGGTGCAAGTGAGGGCCCAAGATACGATACCGTGGCCGATCATCGATCGGATTTTTTCCGTGGCTTCATGCGTCTTGCTCGAAGGGGAGTGTTGGGTGTGTCTCAGGTTACCTTCTTTTGATTCGATCATGTGATGGCTCCAGCTGTTGGTGGTAGTTCCCCCCTTTACTTGCTCGTGCATGTCGTGGAAAAGGCCGAGTTCATCCGTCCCTGCGGCACTTGAGAAACAGACAGTGGTAACCGGAGCACTGGTAGACTATGCCTGATCCAGGGAAAGCCGCGGAGGAGGAAGACGACGACAAGGAGGAGAGCGACAGGCAAGAACGGGGGGGAGCGACGTCAACGGTGAGAGACAAGATGGAGGGCTACAAGTGGAGCGACGCTGAGTGGGCAGAGTGGAACAGGAGGTGGCAATGGGGTACCAGTTGGCAAACCAGCTGGACGCAGCACACCTCTGGGGAGAAGAGGGATTCCGAGACTGGAGTCACGGGGGTTCCAGCCTCGGCTATGCCTTCTACTGGGGTAGACCACTCAGATCCATGGCAGCGTCCCAATGTGGATCCTTGGTCACGGAGGACCTCTATGTCAGGAGCACCTCATGAATCAGGACGACATGATGGATGGTGGGGCACTCAGACCTATCACAAAGGTGATTGCAGTGATCCGCCTTCCTGGTCCGGATGGGGTAACTACAGATTGTGGCGAAGAGCTGTGATTCGATGGAATGACCACACAGACATCGCTGTCTGGAGACGAGCTGATCGTGTGTTGCGCACCCTGGAGTGGGATCTTCAGGCCAAGTTGGATCACATCTCCGAGGCCACCTTAGCCAGTCCGGCCTTCCTGACGGAGATTCTCGCCGTCCTCGATGTGCTCGCAGGAGAAAAGGCAGATTCGGAGCGCAAGAGAGCAGTTAGAGCGGCTCTCTTCGAGGGTAGTCGACGAGCCGACGAAAGCATCGCGCAATATGCTCTTCGTCGAGAGTCTCAGTTTGAGGTCGCCAGTCGCTACATCACCTTGCCGGACGATGTGAAGGGCATTCTTCTTGAAGAGCAGTCTGGCTTGACGAAACAGGCCATGCAGAATCTCAGGGTGCTGACGAAGGGGCAGCACTCGTACTCGGAAGTGAAGAAGGCACTTCACGTCCTCGATGTTGAAGAAGAGAGCATGATCAAACCAGGCAAGGTCAGCTACTTCGAGGACCTTGCTGAGTATGCGGAGACCGACCTCGAGGACGACGACGAGGAGATCTTTCTGGCCATTGAGAACGAGCACGTGGCTGAGGAGGAAGCGGTTGCTCTCCTGGCTGACTTGCAGCAAGACAGGAGAAGAACGTGGAAAGAAAACAAGCTTCTCAAAGCCGCCAGGAGGAAAGATCGCAGACATTTTGACGACAAGAGTTCGAGGCCTGCGAGACCTTTCAATCGGAGACGGATGTCGGTTGAAGAGCTGAAGAAGATCACGTTTTGCGGCAACTGCGGCAAGAAAGGGCACTGGCGTGAGGACTGTTCAGAACCAGTCAAAGACAGCAGTCGTCAGCCAAAGACCAAGACCAATGCTTTTGTGTTTTTGGGCATCTCCGAGGAGGCTAAGAGCTGAGCGGCCTTTTTCCTTGGAGCCTTGTCCGATGCCAAGTCTATGAACGGAGCGTGCTTTCTGGAGCTCAACCCAGGTCAAGCCATAGTCGATCCCGGAGCATCTCAGGATCTCATTGGCCTACCGAGCTTTGAGAAGCTGCAGACAAAACTAGCACGGGTTGGACTTCAAGCCATCAAGTTGGATGAAGCTCCAGGCAAGGCAGCGGGAGTGGGTGGCTCCGCCAAGACACTGTTCATGGCGCTGTCTCCCTGCATCCTGGGTGGACAGCCAGGAATCATCAAGCTGACCGTTGTTGAAGATGACGTGCCACAGCTCCTTTCCATAGGTCTCTTGGAGCATGGCGAGGCGGTCATTGACACCGGCGCGGACAAAATTCATTTTAGGAAGTTCGGCACCGAAGCGCGCATGACTCGACTGCCGTCTGGTCATAGGACACTAGACGTGGCCGAGTGGAGCGGTGGAGATTTTCCAATTCCTGAGAAGCTCACCAGGGAGCTGGGACTATGTCCCGGTGCCTTCAATTTGAGCCCCTCTGCGCGTCGAGCATATATGTCCGGGTTTGCGTGCTTTGGAGATCGCAGTCAGCTCTTTCAATTCTTTCAGATTCAGAAGTCACAGGCAGGTGAGGTTCGATGGTTGAGTGAGCATGTTCTCGGTAATTTCGTAGAGTTTCGAGATTTTCCCTCGGATTTCAGTGCTGCACGTTTTCGATCGACATGGTTGGTTCTTGATGGCATGGCATGGCTTCTTGAAAGAAACGCGAGACGCGCAGAACCAGATGTCTGTGATTTCACTTCACATGTCATGGAAGTAACAGACTGCCCACTTGAGTCCGTTGGCAAACATTGGTCAAACTCTAGAATTGTTTCCCTTTTTTCCACCGAACCTCTACTGCTGATTTTGAGAGATGATGTTTGCTGCAGAGTCGGAGTTGGCCGTCCGAACGCCGTCTCAAGCCAGATTGACGAACGTGACAAGCCCGTCGAACCATCCCATCTTGATCCTTCCGCACATGGCGGCATCCGGACTGATGTCCAACAGAGTGAAGAAGTCTCGCATCAGATCCGAGGCGGACAGCGAAGCCTTGGAGAATCATTGGTATCACTTCACTCGGAAGATGATCATCATGCATGGCGGTCCGAGGGCATTGGAGCGATTGGGCAAGACAATTTACCAGGGCGACTTCACACCTTCCAGGGCCGACGCGAGCGGAGTGATGAAGCTTCCAGCTTGTCAGCGTCCCAAGGAATACGAGGTCAAGGGAGCCAACCAGCACGGGACGTGGACCAGGTGCTCTCTGTGTCAGACCAAGACCAGCTATGTGAAGTACAGCAAGGACAACCCTCCTCCTGCAGTACGCAGGAACAAGTCTGCGGCAGTGGAGACCTACGTGAGCGCTCAACCCATGCCGAGGACTCCCATGGCTTCAGGTTCAGCTGCCTTGACGAGTGCACTGATGCCGGATCTGGAGCAACTGCTGCAGGGTCAGACGCAACAGCTGACTCAGAGCACCGCGGCGGTCATGTCTCAGGTGATGTCCCCTGTGGTGGAAGGGTTTCATCAAGCCCTGCGCTATCAGGCCGAGGAGATGCAGCGATCTCAGGAACGTCAAGAGACACAGATTCAGCAGCTGTTCCTGGCTCAACAGCGCATCATGAGGCAGACCGATCCTGCCTGTCAGCCGGGTGCTGCCTTTCCGATGATGTCTCAGGAGGAGCTGCACCGGCGAATGGCTCAGAGCTTGGCCATGGCTCAGGGATATCCTCTTCCACCAGACGAGGAGGAGTGGGATCGTGTCTCGGAGAACATGAGCGGTCGCTGAGTGGCGCGGCCGGAGCAAGTTTCACCTCGTGTCAGTCAGCTCGGGCCCTTCAGTGTATAGATTCTAGCCTTCAGAACTGGCTTCTTTTTCCTTGCAATAAGGCTTCTAAGAGGTATCTCGCTCGTAGGGGTTGTCAGGACTGTTTTGTTTGTACTCGGCAGACGGATGAAGGTGACCAGTTGATTTTTCTTGTGAAGGATGCTGAGCTTGTTGACGATCTGGTGTGTGGTGACTACCCTGAGGGCAGAGAAGCCCATTTGACGAAGAAACAGAAGCAGCTGCTGTTGAATTCATTAGAGCGAATTTCCACGGAATTCAGTCATGGGTCAAAGAACCCCGCGGAGAGTACGAGCTCAGAGAAGTCTGACAAGAAATCTCAAGAGCCTGAAGGCCATCAAGAACAGTCACAAGAGTCCCACGACCGTTCAAGAAACCTTCAAGAGCCAGAGAGCCATTCAAGAGTTCGAGAGCATTTTGCCGCCACACTCTCCGAAGGAGAGCGAGAGGATAGAGAAATCATTTCCCGACCGATTCGATCGAGCCGTTCGAACCCACCTAGCTCGTCAGAGCTTAGAGCCCTAGGGTTTACCGATGTTAGACCATGCAGCCATGGAGATGTGATGGAGAAGAGTGCCACTCCTCAAAAAGTGATGGAGCTCTTTTCCCCTCCTCGAGTTTCCATCAAAGCAGTGGCTCAGGGGCTGACCCTCACGGAACCGAGCAACTTTGATCTCACAGAAGGCTGGGATGCATTGAACTATCAACACCGACAAGACATGTGGAAAGTGCTTCGGGAGCAAAAACCCGATGTAGTGATCATGAGCCCAGAGTGTCGGATGTTCAGCCAGCTCATGGCAACCTGAGTCGGATCCCTGTCGAGAAGTTGACGAGAGATCAGATGAGAGCTCTCATCATGTGGAATCTATGTCTTCAGGTGGCTGATTTTCAGCTGCAGAATAGGAGGCATTTCTTTTTGGAGCAACCAGCTAGTGCCTCCTCATGGCAAACGCACGCGGCCCGGTGGCTTCTAGGGCAAAAAGGCGTGCGGTTCTTCAGCTTTGATCAGTGCGAACTGGGACTGCAGGTGAGTGCGGAAGGCCTGTCTAGGAAAACAACATCAGTGGCCACTAGTCACGCTGGCATTGCCTTCCTTCTTTCTCAGTATCAATGCACCCACGGTCATCAACATGTTCACCTGGAAAACGGTCTTCCTAGGCGAGCACAAGTCTACCCAGAGGACATGGTGCAAACTGTGATTGACGGCATTCTAGCAGGTCCAGTGGAGTTCTCCGGCGTGGCAGCCGATGATCATGATCTGATGGATGAAGAGGCTGAAGATCAAGAGGAAGCTGAACCTCAGCCTCGCACCCCAGGCACCTTGCAGAGAGATTCATCTGTTCTCCTGACAGAGGAACAGAAGAAGAAGATACTGCGGATGCACCTCAACATGGGACACCTGTCCAAGGAGCAGATGCTTTCCATGCTCAAGGCAGCAGGTGCTAGAGAAGGCGTCTTGAAGTTTGTCAAGGAGAAGTTCGGATGCACTTATTGCATGAGACAAAGGAAACCCGTGGAGCGACGACACGCGACAATTCCCAGGACTTTTTCCTTCAATCGGATCATTGGGTTGGACTTCTTTTACCTGTCCTTCGGTGGTCGAACCTTCGCATTTCTTAATGCTGTGTGTCATGGAACCAATTTCCAACAGGTTGGCATGTTGAAGAACTATGACGGGGGAGTTCCTTCTTCCAAGGAGACCTGGTCATTGTTTTCGAAAATTTGGATTCAGCCTTTTGGCATACCAGAAACTATGGTGTGTGATGGGGGTTCTGAATTTAAGCAGCACTTTGAACGAGCCGCAGAACAGCAGGGCATTTTGCAGATCATCACGGACGCGGCGTCCCCATGGCAAAATGGGCGTGTGGAGCGCCACGGCGGTTGGGTCAAGGACAGGGCAGAGCTAGAAATCAACTCGGGCCAGACTGTACTCACAGACTCTCACGATCTGGAAGAACTCATTCTCGCCACCGTTTCTTGCAAGAACAGGTGGTACTCCAGAGGTGGCTACAGCCCATGTCAACTTGTTTTTGGCGTCAACCCTCGAGTCCCAACAGAACTTCTTTCTGATGATGCTCTACAGGAACTTGGGTGGGAAGAGATCGAGTGTGATGCCTTTGATCAGGATACGGCTACAGCCGCTTACAATCGATCTCACCAGATTCGTCAAAAGGCAAGGCAGTTGTGCATCGAAGCAGCTTGCAGGGACCGAATCAAATCCAGCATCAAACAGAGAACTCACAAGCAGCGACAGTGGGCAGTCGGACAGTGGGTCCATGTTTGGAGGAAGTTCCCTGGGACAGGACAAGGGCATCTGACGAGGGCTCGATGGACTGGTCCAGGTGTGGTAGTTCTGCAAGCAGGACACACAGTTTGGGTGTCCATGAGAGCCAGACTGTGGAAGTGCAATAGCGACCAGCTGAGGCCAGCCACTCATCACGAGTCGATAGGAGCAGACATGGCTCGATCAGGTGAGCTGCAAGACCTCATTGCTCAAGGAAGATCGACGAAAGCAGGTGCTGTCGATGTCACGACAGAAGGTACACCAGACGATACAGGTGACGGGAAAGTTCCCTCCATCGAGATTGACAAGCCCATGGTTCAGGAGTCGATTGCTCATGATTTGAGAACAGCTGACACAGCAAAAGACATCGAGTCAGAGGGGCAACATCTTCCCCTCAGACAAGTATCTGTTCCCAGGCCAGTCATTCCAGAAGAAACAGAGGGCTCCGTCGCTGACACCGTGAGTGAAGCCACCGCGGGCTCCAAGAGAAAGTCCCGGCACAGTGATCAGGACTCTGCATCCAACAAGAAAAAGATTGTGGAAGAGACCGTAGTCAAGCGACCAGTAGAAGACCAAGAACAAGCAAATCTTGAGAAGATAGCGCTAAAAACACTCAGAAGGTTGGAGCGCGAAGAGAAGATGAGAAAGATCAGTGAAAGGAAAGAAGCTGTCGCTTCGGCTTCATCGGAAACGCCAAATCAGGAGACTACCTCCTCCAGTTCCAGCATGGCATTACAACAACCGTCCACTGAGACTTCAGCAGATGGCTTCGCACCTCAAGACGCCTTGATGGCGGAATTGACAGAGCAAGGCCTCAGTTTTCTGGAGCTCAAGATTGAGGACTCGTGTCTGATGACCAAGCCCGTCAAAACGAAGTCTCAAGAATTTGACATGAAGCTTGCCACGGATGAGGAGAAGAAAGGCTTCAAGGCTTCCGACGAGGCCGAGTGGAAGACCATACTGGACCTGAAGGCAGTCGAGGTGCTAAACCCTGCTGAGTCGAGGAAGGTTCGTCGTGATCATCCGCATCGCATTCTTCCATCTCGGTTTGTCAGAAGAAAGAAGCCTATGCCGGGACTGGGACAGTGGAAATTCAAATCCAGATGGTGTGTGCTAGGTCACTGTGACCCTGACACTGGTTCATATTCGACGTATTCTCCCATGCCTATGACAGAGAGCATCTCTATTTTCTTCCAGTTGTGCACCAACATGGACATGTCTGTCACGTTTTGTGACGTGACACAAGCATTTTGTCAGTCAGAGCCTCTTGATAGACCGGAAGGAGACTTGTATGTTGAAGCTTGCGAGGGCCTAGTTCTTCCAGAAGGCACAGTCATTCGACTAGTGGCTCCAGTGTACGGGCTTGAAGACGCCCCCCTCCGATGGCATCAGACGGTCATCAATTTTCTACGCTCGCTAGGCTTCGAGAGGAGTCTCTTGGAACCATGCTGGTATGTGAGAAGGGATGCCAGAAATGAGGTCGAGGCCATGATTCTAGTAGAAGTTGACGATCTGAATGTGGCCACCAGGAAAGACGTCAAGGATGAACTCCTTTCAGCTCTGAATCAGCGTTTCCGCTTTGGGAAGATGGAATATGATGAGGCAGACTTCGCTGGGAGACACGTTCGAGTTCTTCCTGGAAGAATCGAGATGAACCAGGAGAAGTACATCATCGAGAAACTTCATCCTCTTAAGCTGCCTCTTGGTCGCAAGGGCGACAAGTCAAGCAGACTGAAACCGGATGAGTTTGAAGCTTTTAGATCCATGCTTTACAAGGTCGCATGGGTCGCACACCAGACTAGGCCAGAAGCTGCAGGAGTCGTGAGTATTTTGTCTTCCAGGCTGAAAGAAGGAACCATTGAAGATGTCTCATGCCTGAACAAGCTCATTCAACATCTCAGAAATACTGCACAGCAATCGCTCACCTTGCATCGCTTCAGCAATGATAAGATGATCCTCATTGCCGCCTCAGATGCCGGTGGCGTGGACAGTCTACCTCCTGACAAGTCCTCAGAGATAGACAATGTTCAAGGAGCGTGGATAATCATGGCTGCTGACAGACTTCCTAGCGCGAATCAGAGAATCAAGGTTAGCATTTTGAGCTGGAGATCATCGAAGCTAAGACGGAGAGTCGCATCAACACTTGCCAGTGAAGCACTAGCCTTTAGTCAGTCACTGAGTGAAGTAGAATGGATTCAGATCATGATTAGAGACATCATCAAAGGTGATGTCAAAAGGACAGACTGGACCGAGTCTCTGACACCATATGTTCCAGTTTTGAAGGAAAACTGCGAATTGGCAGAGAAGTTAGAGCAGTGTCATGTCACGGATGCCAAGAGCCTGTTTGATGCCTTGAAGAAAGAATCTCCCATGTCTAGACAGGACAGACGCACCTCGGTCGAGCTCAGCATAATTTTAGAAGCTCTTCAGAAAGCTAGAAGTGTGATCAGATGGGCTCCTCATCCACGAATGGTAGCCGATGGGCTTACTAAAGCCGATATCACACGCACAAATGGTGCATTAGAAGAACTGCTGCGGACCTCTCGCCTCACCCTCTGGGATGAGAAGCAAGAGCTGAATCTTCGTAAAGATGATCCAGCTGCGAAAGGACGATCGAGAAGAGCGTCCACCAGACACCGTTCGCTGGAGGCCAGTGAAGAGTCCTTCGCTCTTTTGAGTCGAATCAACAAGAACTTAGGGGTGCTGTCTCAGGTTACCTTCTTTACTTGCTCGTGCATGTCGTGGAAAAGGCCGAGTTCATCCGTCCCTGCGGCGCTTGAGAAACAGACAGGTGCTTCTCTTTGGAAGAACCATCCATCCCTCATAGTGTACCCCGCTGGAACTCGAACTCGAACTGGAACCGGACCCCCCCCCCCCCCGCAAAAAAATATTCGACACTAAAGTGACATTGGCCATCACGTCCAGACCCGGGCCCAGAATGGGAACTGGAAGTGGAACTGGAACTCCACCCCCCCCCCAAAAAAATTGACGCTAAACTGACGTTGGCAATCACGTCCAGACCCGGGCCCAGAACTGGAACTGGAACTCCCCTCCCCCCTCCCCATGCAGTCTCCCGTGTTGGACGGCGTGGAACTGAAACTGGAACTGGAACTCCCCTCCCCAGTCTCCTGTGTTGGACGACGTGGAACTGGAACTGGAACTGAAACTCCCCTCCCCCCTCCCCAGTCTCCCGTGTTGGACGACGTGAAACTGGAACTGGAACTGGGACTGGAACTGAAACTCCCCTCCCCCCTCCCCAGTCTCCCGTGTTGGACGACGTGGAACTGGAACTGGAACTGAAACTCCCCTCCCCAGTCTCCCGTGTTGGACGACGTGGAACTGGAACTGGAACTGAAACTTCCCTCCCCCCTCCCCAGTCTCCCGTGTTGGACGACGTGGAACTGGGTTGGACCATGTGGAACTGTACCTCGCTGGAACTCGAACTCGAACTGGAACTGGAACCACCCCCCCCCCC